GAAGGAAAATAGTCCAGACCAAATCACCTAATGCCAGCGAAGCCAAACGAATTGTTCACAACAGTAAGGAGAGCGAGGCCAGAATGCTCACTTCTCTTTTCACATTAAGAAATAAAAACCTCATGTTAGAAGGAATAACCTTTAAGAGCAATAAGAAAGCAGTCAAAATCTAGAAGACAGATATCACGTTGCACATTGTCAATACATTACAGTACGAGATCAATGACTATTAAGTTAATTTCACATTCATTCCAGAACCATAAATCATAAAGAACTCGATATCAATACACTGATCTGATCTGCAGCTTTCATTTGAATTAAACTGAATTATTTTAATACTTAATACTTTCTTTGGGAATGGTACGACTTTTTTTTAATTTCCAGTAAAATAAAATTTGGTTTCCAAGACTTGACAGTGGTTCCTTCAATTCACATTTGCTGCTATTGACTGCTCTGCTACAGCAACACACTGCTTCGCACTGCAGGTTCTAATGTAATAAAAATTACTTTATGACAAAATATCCATATTTCATGGTCTTTTAAGAGATTCTTTTTAAAATCAGTTTGCATATACTTAAAATCCTGGACAGGATGAAAAGATAAGATTTGTATAGCAAACTGTAACAATAAATATCCTTGATCTATGAGATATTTTTGTATTGAGTTCCATATACTTCTGCTAATAATTTTAACCAAATGCCATAAGCTATTACCAGGCTCCCAGAGCTGTTGGTGGGAGAGGAACATTATTACTATTTTTAAATGACTGGTAACAGTTCCTACTCCAACCAGAAATTTCTACTCAAAAAGCAGAGCTACCACGTTAGCATATGGCACTAAGCACCAATACATCAGTCCATCAGCAGAAAATCCTTTGTAAGGCAGACTTTCTGCAATGGAAGTGATGAAAATTTCCCTGTTATTGATTTAATCAAATTACTAAAACATGTAATACATGTTCCCTAGAACTTACCTGCATCTCCAGAGTAGGAAGTTACAACAATGTACTTGTCCTCTGCAACCTGGTAGCAAGTCAGGACTTTTTGTACTGGCTGCCAGTCAAGGCCATCAGTAACATGAACACCTTTTCTTTTCGCTCTCACACTGCTACAGCACAAGCAAGAGGCAAAACAAAAACCCTTGTCCTCAAAAGAATTCACAAATTACAAAACTGCTAGCACCTGAGACTCCTCTTGAATGGTAACTGAAAAAGTTACCATTCTTGAAAGCTGCTGGTGCTACCATCCGCAAAATACAAAGCAAGACCTTATTCCACAACTGAGATCTTCCACAGCTTAGCACATCATAAACAAACACAGAAGGAACTAAATAACATCACATGGGAACAAACTCTTCTTCCACAAAATTAGTCTAAAATGCTTGACTCTAAACTCTTAAACTGATACATTGCATTCACACACACAAAAAATAAAATAAAATTGACAGAAGAGCCCAGTTACAGATCAAAGTATTGATTTCTGCAGAAAATCAACAGCAGAAACTTCACTTCTGTTTCTGTCTTGGAGGACTAGGGACAAGAACCAGAAAGAGAAGACGACAAGAGGGAACTTTAGTCTGCATGATGCAACCACTTGCATTCCGGTTTAAATCCCAAAATATTGCTTTTAATGAAGGGGTAGATCCCTCTCACAAGATGGATGACATATGTATCACAAACATCTGATAAAGTAAAATTCTTCAGTGAACTAACTCCCACAGCACCCAAACATTAATACTCTAGAAAATTCCCTAGAAAAGGCAATCTGCATGCCATTAAACTATGCAGACACTTTCCCTGCATCCTCAGTTCTCACTCACCCCTTGCTTTTTTCTGCTTCCTACATGTACATGGAGGTCTTTGCTCCCAGCATCCTTCTCTCCTTCCAGTACAAGCTGCATTGCTGGTGCAAGAATATTGCTCTAAATGAGCTGCTAGAAAGCTCTGTCTGACAAGTCATGCAAGCTAAAGGAAAAATGGCATGTGCCTCAGTTGGAAGTCTTAATAAGGAAAGCAAAACATGTAGAAAGATGAACGGACAGACCGAAAAAACACTTGCACTCAGAAAAATGCAAGCTGACATTTAAAGACATAAGTGAGAACTAGATTCACTTCTACTAAATTCCCTGATGGCTGCTGACATCTGATTTCATCTTCATACCACTGCATTTTAGGAACCATCTGAAAGAGGTGCAGTTTCTTTTGACAGATCCACGGGGAAAGGAAATGGGATAACTTTTGTTAACAAAATGTTTCATATTTCTTCCCCAAATCCAGAGAAAGTCCTTATCTTATGCAAAGCAGAAAGAAATCTAAAAAACCCTTAAAGAATACCAAAGCAACAACTTCCCATAGCCAAGTGGACTCAGGCAATTATTGAATAAATGGACAGATCTAATACAAGTTATACTGCACACACACATCCTACATCATGGTCTGACATCCAATCCTTCTACAACTGTGACTATACCATCCTTTTGTCTCTGTCAGAGTCAATTTAGGCAAAAACTTAATTTTCACAAGGTATACAGTTTTCTCTTCAGCTTTCCAGAAACAATCTTTGTGAAACTATGGATGAAAGCCCCTGAAAATTAATTCATGAAACAAACTCATTATAAACCAAAACTGTCAAGATTTATGCAGTTTGCAGATACAAGCATGTGCTGTAAGGCTATAAAATAGGTATGTGTGTTTGTATGCTGAAAAGGCTGCATACGGTATCAACTACACACAACTTTGCACATCCATCATCTGCATTTTCAACTACTTCATCAGGCAAAAAGGTGAGTGTGTGGATGGATCATAAACCTATCCGCATTTATGTGACCTTCAGAGAAAGAAGGCCACAGAGAGCTTCTACTACGTTCATAACAATGGGGACAAATTATAATTTTGCTATATATGGTAATATTTTTGGACAGAATTGTGTACTCATTCGAACCATTAAGATCTCTGCTAAACCTTAGAATAATCTTAAAAAATAAAAAGTAAAAAAAAATAAATAATAGAGAAGTGGTTTTGAACAGCACATAATATCCCATTTTTTTTATTTTATTTTTTTTTTAAATCACACTTTTCATTGAACACCAGAGAAACAACAGATCTGCAAATACAGAGCAAGGCAGACTGCTTTAAAGCCACTGATAAGCTTTTACAAGCACTGTTTCTTAAAAATCAGAGCTGATGGCAAGTTTATACTTCATCAACTAAATCAAACTTCTAAAAGTTGGATAGGGCTGCTATGGGAAGAGACACCGCTCTGAGCACAGCCCCCTGGTCTCCACCTTTGGGGAGCATGGAAAGCCCTTTGGAGAGAAAGAACCATCTTGCCATAAAGACCATGGCCATGAAGCACATGTGGATTCTCTTCTGCTGGTTTAACAAACAGCAGGAGAAAGCTGCTGGCTGTCTTTCTCAGCATACAGGTTGCTCATACATAGCTGTATATTTTAACGTAAGATTGCTTAGACAAATGCAAATGCTCTATGATCTCTTCGGCTTGAAGCTTGTCTTTTGTTCAGAACCCAAATATTTCATATAGCAACATAGTACATTCCTTTTTCTTTCTATTTTCCATCATTTTTCCTGCTTCATCCACAAAAATGGATACTTCATTTTGCTTTTTCCTCCATCTTCCTGAATTTACTGTCTGGGGCTCTTCTCCTTAGTTCCATCTCCTTCTGTGCAACATTTGCTGTAGACCTCTATTACATTGCTATCACCTACAGCATCTGTTACCTAATGTTTTTCCCCCATAGTATTCCCACTCCTTTCCATGCACAAAATGCCAAGGGTCACCAAAACAAGCTAAAGCTAAACAATTCCCGTGGTCAGTTAGCCCAATATGATCTTTCTTGCATTACTCTTGGTTTACACATTTTTAGAGATTTGTGGATATAGAAACAACTCTTTAATTTAATTTTGGTTTTATGCAAATTCTATGTTAATCAAATTATCCTGGGTTATTTCTAAGGATGCTTCACTATTTTTTTTTGTATTGCCTTGTTTCTCTCAGATACTACAATATGTCTTTATTATTTATTTCGACCTTTTGGCAGTCTTACTGTATTGTCATTTTAATATTGTCATTAACCATTCCATAACCTTTCCAGTCTCCCAACACACTATGGATGGCTTGCTCACACAACCCATCAGTGATTACTTATTACATTTCTGTATTCATCCTCTCTTCACAGCAAATATATTTAATAGCCGTTTTGAACCAATGATTTCTCTTCAGACACTTAGTTCACCTCTGTCCTTTCCAGACATGACTTTACCCCACTGAATGTCATGTCACAAAATGTGCTGCCAAATTATAACAGTTTATATTCATTTTGGTACATCACGTTTACAAACCATTGCTCACATTTAGGATGACAGAGGTAGGAAATAAAAACGGCATTAAACAGCCTCTTGTTCAGTGTAGGAGCACTACTTGCACATAGCTGTGTTTTACTCTTAGTTACAATGTAAATCCAACAATTCCTATGACTAAAATGGGTTCATGTGTAGGTTAACATTAACTTCAGTACACTACAGACCTTTGAGCTCTGTCCAGCTTCCACATTGTCCAATGTGACAGTTGATATAATAAAAGTAATTGTCTCCTGCTAAGAACTAAGTTTAGGCCATTTACCTCGGTCACTATTGTAGACATCCTTTTCATTATTCCTTTCATTTTTCTATATAAACCTTTTCAACTACTCCACATTGTTAAAACCATACAGATGGGAAGTTAAGTATGTCAGCTATCAGAACGGTTGTGGTGTTGCTTGTGAGGCCACAGAGCAAAGACCACCTAACATCATCTTGTCATCTGACATATTTAACCTAAAAAAGTCTTCTGTTACATATATATTCAGAAGCAGCTGGGCACTTCCCACTGCCACCTCCACTATTTTAGTCCTGTAACACTTCCCTCTGTATCATTAAGATATTGCAGAGGTGGTGTCCTGTTCCCCCCCCACCCCCCAGTAATTTTCAAATGCTGTTAATACATATTTTTTTTTGGTTTTGCTTTGTTTTATTGGGATGCAGAATCACATTTCGGTGGAAAATACAGTAAACACATACACACATTCCTCTCAAATGCAGAATCACATGCTTGAGATTTTCAAAAGGATTTTAATTGCTGTGAACACAAACACTGACTTTCAAGCATACACATACTTGTAACACTTTTTAAATTCCAATCAAGTACTATGGTACCACACCTCAGAAACCCACCAAAGGCAAAGGAAGTTTGCTAGAACAAATAATTTCTTTGCATGTGAGAAATGAGCAAGTCTGACTTTGGGTCTTTTTTTGTTTGTTTGTTTTTAATCTGGTGCTCCTCTGACTGTGCTTAGAGATGCAGAGCTTTATCTAGAGGCTCTTCCTGAGTTGGACATTTTTAATGGCTGTCTTCCACATAGGTACTTATATCATTAACAAAGTGGACTACAGCTTTTGAGTGGAGCAGCTTAGTGGAAGCCCTTCTCACATGACCCATGTAGGAATTAAATATGGCAGGATGCCATTCTAACACTGAAACTGTAAATTCTGTCTTTTTTTTAATCATATATTTTTATTATCATTTTTAGTAATGCAGTGCATGTGAGCATGCATCTGCATACACACAGATATAGGTCCCAGAGATGCACATCAACGCCACATTCAGAGAACATCCCTGCATTGTCATCACTCTCCCCAGGATCTCACAAGATGACTTCAAATCATGTGAACCTTTGATAGAAGGTTGTCAACAAATCAAGTGAAGAATGCTTGTGTCTCAAAAGAATAGCTAATGTATACAGTCATATACATAAAACTGTTCCCCCAACTTTGAGAACACACAGAATTAATTCTTGCAATCCATAGCAAAGCACTGGAGACAACCTCTACACTGTTTCCATCTTTTTGGGACTGCATCAAAGTCTCGGTCTGGCATTTAACTGCATTCTGCAGACTCCTCCCATGCAGTTGGTACAATGTGGATGTATGAAAAAAGACGAAAAAAGTTGGACCGAAGTGTTTGCTGGCAAGAAATACAGAGAAGATTTTTGTGTTTTTCCTGTAAGGGCAAAGGAGGGAAGTTTAATGGTAAAAAGGTAAGTTGAATGGAATGCTATCACAAATAGTTTTGTTTTTCTCCCTGCTTTTGTTTTGTTTTATAAATAAAGGAATACAAATCGTAAGCAGACTGATTCTTGTCTATTTCCTAGGTCTCTTCCGGATGAGGACCTTTTACTGAATTTGAACATGAGAATAATAAGAAAAAGAGATGCAAGGTTTTAATTCGAAATCTCTGTTTTACAGAAGAATGCAAAAGGAAGGCTTGAATTTGTATATTTAAATCAGTTTTTCCAAACAAGGCATAACCAAATAGAAAAAAGCCAGTGCCCTTCTTACTAAATGAATTTGATTTATAAATAAAACACATTGCAAGTGGCCATGCCAAAACTTGTTTACATTTGGTCACAGTACTGCCTTTAACTCAACTAGTAAACTAGGTTAAACAAACACACATCACATTTGACCAGTGTTTGTAAATAATTCTAACATGCACCAGTTAAAATGCATATGGTTTTTAAAAAGTTCATTTCCAAACATGTCAGAAACAATTAAATATAGATTTTATATATAACATAAAATAGGATGGCAAACAATCCTGCAAACTTCTGTACATCAGTCAGATACAAAAGAATCTGAGGGCATACCTTCAGTTCAGATGCTTCCTTTCCCCTTTGTTGAATTCTTTCAGTTTCTAAAAGGACATAAACCTGAACAGATTATATACTTTATAATAGACGTATAGTCTTTTACACCATCTATACAGAGATCTGCCATTCTTCCTATTAAAACAGAACTCTTAATCAAGTGAAACCGTATTTTCTTTGCTCAGTCCTCAAAGTCACCACTTTTTAACCTACACAACACAAATTGCAGACTTTTCAGTTTGCATATCTATTAAGTGGTTTAACAAAATAAGTTAGCTCTGAGTTCAATACTGCCCTCCACCTTCTAAATTAAGACATTGCACTAGTGCAGTCATACGCAACTGAATTCTCAAGATTTAGTATGCCACACATCTATCAGTTTTCCTAAAACTTTTAAAACATCAGAACTCCACGTTCACTTTCTGTTTCCAAAATTTTCTCATTTTCTGCTTTCATTTTAGTTATGAATGCTTTAAAACCACAAATTCCTCAGGGGCTCAGAAGTGGGGTAACCCACAATCCACCTTCTGTTACAGCATTAGAAAGACAATGCACAACCGCCTCTTAAAATAGAGTGTAAACTGAAGATTTCACAGTACTGAACTTCAGTAACTGGTTTGGTTCCACAATTTGGGAACTGTTGTTGGGAGCTCTGTGCTTTAAAGCCAATACCCCTGTTTATTTGCACGCGTTAGTTTTCAGCCTACAAGACAGAAATTATGCAGAAGTCATATTGTCCTAGCAAATCAGTCATGCAGTTCAGTTTCCACCTGGGCTGCATGTTCATTTTGTGCATTTCTCCACCCATCTGTCCTTCAACTGCATCATACTGTTCTAACAGTCTCATTAATGTTCACCCCTCTGGATGGTTTCATCATAAGAGGATGTTCTAATCTGAAAACCATTTACTTCTGAATATACGCTGCTAAATTACAGTGCCAGCAGGAGAAGCACAGCTCAGCCTCTCCTCTAAACATTTAGTCAGGCTAAAACACTTCGACATAAATGCTCTACAGTTCAAACATTTATTACAAGGTTTCAGAGTAAAATTAAATTACTGTCATGGATACATTACATTTATTAATAAACCGTCACAGGAATATTAAAGAAAGTTAAACAGGTAACACAAGGATATCAGGGAATATAAACGCTCAAGTTCCAGTAGCAATGTTTGCTTTGCCAGGTTACACATCCCGTAAGTTTGATGGAATGCACTGCACATAACGTATGAAACTACACAGCCACGAAGAAAATTAACTTCTGAAGTTCTGGTTGGGATTTTAATTTTGCGCTCTGTGAAAAGCGGAAAAGCAAGGATCCTGTTTATTTGAACTCCTAGCAAATATTTACACAGAGGTTCGGGAAGGCAGAGGTTTGAAGAGATGACAGGCACAAACGTTACTGCAGTTTGAAGGAAGGAGTCAAAGGGATGCTAGGAGTTAAGCTCTTTAAGCTCTTTACTTCAGAAGCAGAAGCCAAAGGGTCCTACCTCGCTTCTGGAAGACAAAGGCTGTTATGGTATCTTCTTTCCCATGCAACAGTAGGGAATAAAGATCTGTGTCTTCCAGATGGAAGGCAGCAGAAATAGCTCCACCAGCAGTTTAAATGTGGGTTGCTTTCTGCAGATTTCAATCTGGAGTCTTCACTCGCCCTCACACCTAACACCTCTCTCCACATATGCTTTGACTGTTTACTGTCATTCCACCCAGAGATCTCATCTTCACTGCAGTTTAGCTTCCATTATTACCTCATCCCTCTTTTTTGTGCCCTATTCACCCTCAGGAAACATTTGTTTGCCTTTTTTAAAAACAGGCAAACAAAGCAACAAACCACTCAAATCAAAAAGGTATTGTCCTTAAAATGCTCCTGGCCACAGAATCTTACATGAAATCTCCCCTTCAGGCAGAAAATACAAGCCTAAGATCTCTGACTATCATGGAAAATGTTTGTCAGCTTGGAAAAGAAAACATTCCAATTCTAGACAAATTTATCTTCCCTCACAAGAGGTTTTGGAAAACAAGCTAGTGTAGAATGAGACTTATAATTTGTAAGAGCTGTGGAGACCTAAGCGACAGTATGCTGTTACTATCTCTTCCCAAGAAATCTTAACTCCTCCAAAACCCATTTTGGTTCTACTTGTCAAACCTCTAGGCGGTAAAGGGCACACACCTAAAATAAAATGTGATGTTGCTAAACAAGGTACCTACATTCCTGCCTCATCCTATTCTTGGATCCTTTCTGCCATCCTAGTAGGCATTGTCTGAATGTTCATCGGTAAGCATAGCATTGCAACTAATAAGACTGCTCAATACCAAGATGGGAGAAAAAACACATGAAGTGAGGAAGCAGGGCTTATTCAAAGTCTCATAAAGAGAAAGCCAGGCAATGATCTAATTGCAGACTTCAAAATCTTGAAGGGGGCTTAACACAGCCAAACTCTCCTCAGTAGAAGCAGATGGTATAAGAGAAAATGGCATCAAACTGTGTCTTGAGAAATGCCAACAGGTATCAGGCAGAAGCCTGTCACTCAGAAGACTGCAGCATTAGAACAGGCTGCCTGCAGGGCCTGAGGAATCTCCACCTCAGAGGCTTCCTAGATTCCACTAACACAACACCGTAGCTGCATTAGCAAAGGTCCTGCGTTGAGCAGGAGGCTGGATGGACTAGGTGGCCTCCTTTAAACTCTTCCAAAAGATTTCTTCATTTCTCTGATAACCTACATGTCTGAAAATGAGACATTTCAATATCACAGTTTAAAAAAAGATACCAAGTGAAAAGTAGATTCTGAATTACATCACTCTGCAGCCTGATCCACAAACAACACTCATGTTTTCAACTAGTAATAATTACAGGGCACAATCAGACCTTGAAGCACGTAATCCACTAGAACTTTCTGTCTATATCAGTGAAGTCTAAACAGACCCTAAATAAAGATTGTTCATTAAAATTTACCTGAAATGCTCTAAGTCAAAGAATTGATGAAGTATTAAAAAAAAAAAAAAAAGACAACCATATCTTCTACCATTCCCTAGCATTTCTGTACAGAAAGCTCACATCTAATTTAGAAAGCTTCAGTAATACAACTACTGCAAGCAATTATTGTCCTGTAGATTTAAAGATTCACTTTGGGATTTTTATTTATGTCCTTTAGAAATGAGAATATAGACAGAGCGATTCCTCTTTTTCCCTGAAGCCTGACTAAAATCAATCGCCAGCCCCTTGAGGAAGGATGACATTGACTGCCCCTACTTGTCTAATGCAACAGCACACAAACCACAGAGCAGCACAGCACTAGCCCATATGTACACGTGCTAGCAGGCAACTATCAACCGTTCTGCGTGTCTTAAGTTATCCTTTTGGGCCTCTGCAAATCCAACAGCTGAAATACAGTTCTGGTCTGTGGGACATGGAGAAATAGCAGTTACGAAGGGCAAAGTGACACAGAGACAAAAGGACCAAGTAACCCAAATAAATCTCCTGGATTTCATCACTATGTTATGCCTAAGACAGCATCTAGGCACAGTGCAGAGAGCCTGTTTTGGTGGTAATGGCCCACATGTGCTGACAGTGTGGCAGCCTGCCCATAGCCCCACAGCCATTGCCCCACACCACACAGCTCCTCACCAGCCCTCAGGGCTGCAGCTGATGGAGGCCGAGGGGAAGGGCACTTGGTTAGGAAATCTGCAAACACAATTTTCGGGCTGTTTTAGTAAAATGTTTAATAAAAACAGCCTGAGGTGTGGGGAGGTGAATTGACGTGTGCCTCTCCTCCCTGCAGACTGCTGCAGTCTCAGCCTCATCCTTTCAGCATGAGACCCAGTAAGTCATCAGTGCACTTACACCTCTACTTCTCAATACCTTTTAAAAGGCATTTTAAATTTCCTGACAGAAAATACTGTACTACCCGATGATGATGCTCACTTCATGTTATTTTTCAGAAATCTAAAAAAAAAAAAAATTAAAAAAATGACCTACCAAAAGTATTTAGACTGTAAAAAATAATGCACAAATCCAGGAATGATATCTGGCATAAACATTTTTGGTCATTTTTAAATGGAGATTATAATTAGCATTATCGTCTAGATGTTGTAAAAGCAGGCTTAAAAACAACTGCAGTGTGCCCCTTTGATAAATAATGTAGCATTCCATGACAGTTACTCTATTAACTTTGTTTTATTCTCCTTTATGTGAATAAATTCAGTACAACAGAAAATGAACAAAATTATAGAGTAAGCATTTCTTTACAAAGAGAAAAATATCTAATGGTGATCAAGCCATTTGAGAGAACTTCTCACAAATGGCCTGCATTTATGCTGACAGGGCTGACAGAAATAAAACTCTGCCCATGAGGGGAATGATGTTGTTTCTAAGCTTTGAAAGCTAAAAAGAAAAAAGGAAAAAAAAAAAAAAAAAAAAAGCAAGCTGAAGTATCTGCAATTCCAAATCTAAATACGATCTTTAAAGTCTGGGAATAGAAGCCAGGACTTATTTCCTTTTTTTTTTTTTTTTTTTCCTTTTATTGGAAACCACAGTAAACTGATACCCAACCTTCAGCAACCCATCACCAGTCAGTAAAATGACTGATGAGGCTAATGAAATATGTTTTTTTCTCAGTAATTATCATTATAAAAATGGAACAACGGCACTGCTCTTATTTTACATTTAGCTGGTTTTCTGTTGTTTCTATTTCAAAAGAAAGGAAAAAAGGCTCTCCCCCCCCAATGATGACATCATAGAATCTTTGTTAATGTTAATGAGAAATTAGCACACTTTTCACTTTGTTAAATTAAAAGCTATTTTAAATAGCACCAAAATGCAGTATTTTTATGATCATACTGAATTTTTCAAATAAATAGACAAGAGACTACAATTTTCAAATCAGTATGTATAAAGAATATTCCAGTGCACCACATCTTAAAACCACATTTCTTTCTCATAACAATGACTAACAACTTATAGCAAGAAAGTTGTAAATACAGTTTTGAATTAATGTTGCAATCTCAAATTTTAAAAGAATTTCTCCCATTTGTTCAGACAACTCCACCTAAATTTTTGCATTTAAACTTCCCTTTTAAATGCAGCTGAGATTGAGCAAAAAATCTAACAGAACTCAAAGCCAGCTAAAGCGTATCTGAGCTACGTTCTTATTCTGGAATACTCGCATACTGCTTCTGTAGACATCAAAACTTTCATATTATATTCAGAAAGCAGGACTGATCAATGAGGTCATTAGTCTAACACTATTCATATAATTAACGTAACCATCTCACATATCTCATAGCTTTACATTACTACTAACAGCAGCTATCAGAAAGGGGAAAAAGTACAATACAAATACTTTTTATTTTTCACCCATCACGTTCAGAGTTAGTGTAAAGGAAGCATCCACAGACTCGAGTATTCTGATTCAGGGCTGTGAATCTGAATGAATATATTTTAGTCCAGGAAAATTTCTAAACACCTCTGCAAAGCTAAATCATTCACTTTATATCTTATGAATAAAAATATGATCAAAGTTTTTTTTTCTTTTCTACTGGAATAAAAGACTGTGAAGGACAAAGAGCATTTTTGATTACAGGAAATCAGAGGTGAAGGGAAGAGTTTGTGAGAACTATAGTAAAAATGATCCTTTAAGACACTTTTATTATTCTGAAGAAAGAAGAATAAAATGAAAGGAAAGTACTTTCAATGTAAACCAAAAGCAGATACTTAAGTTGAAAAAAATAAATCGGAATATATTAACAAAAAACATTTTCTCAATCAGTTATTCAGAGCAAGGCGAAACAAAGTCTACGATTCACAAAAACAGAATCCCTAGTAGTTAGTTTGACTTTCAGTCACCAAAGTAGTCTGCTTAAATTTCAGACCTGATACACAAGCCCTGAAAGGCAGAGCGACAGTAGGAAATATATAAAGTTGTAAGGAGACCAGACCTCAGGCAAAACATACATAAATCCTGGTTTTAACAGAATGTTAAGAGAAGTACTAAGGAAATTCCACTGCTAACAAGTAGGAAAAAGAAAATGTATTACATGCCCATTTTCATTTTGGCATTTAATTTTGCATTTTAGAGAGATATTTTTCAGTTTCAATCTTCTGTCT